AAAAAAAAAAAAAAAAAAAAAAAAAAAAAAAAAAAAAAAAAAAAAAAAAAAAAAGTCACAAAAAAAAAAAAAAAAAAAAAAAAAAAAAAAAAAAAAAAAAAAAAAAAAAAAAAAAGTACTTGATGATGCCTGGTGCCGCCCGGGACGGGCTCACCCCCCGCGGCGGCCAGAGGCCAAGGGGCAGGCAGGGCAAGGGTTAGGCGCCTAGCCCGGGAAGAACCTCCAGTTCTCCCTCTCTGTCGCCCCTAACTTTGTGAAGAGGGGTAGTTATAATTGTGGAAAATCCCGTTTCCCTGGCAAAAGACGGGAAGTTTGTCTCCAGCCCCTCCCCGCCACCAGTTCCCACTGGGGATGTGGGTAGCCGGTGCGCGGCCCCCGGTCCAGCCAGGTCGACCCCAGCCACCACCCGGCCAACCCGAGCCAGAGCCCGCTCCGCCTTGGCGTTCCACGGCTCGTGGAGGGGCTGCTCCCCTGCCGTGCCGTGCCGGGCACACACGGGCTGCCCTGTGACCAGCTGGCCAGACGGCGGCCCGCGGGCCTCCCTTGGGCTCATCGACCCTGGGAGCTTTGCCAGGCTTTGCCCGGTTGTCTCGACGCCGCTCCCTGGCCTTGCTGGTCCTCAGCTTTTCCCGCTGAGCCCGCCCGGCACCCCTAGCACCCAGGTCCCGCGGGGGGCCCGGGCAGCGGCACGGCAGAGAATAGCCCTGTCCTCGGCGTCTTGGCCGCCCGTGTACGCGACCCGGCTTTTCCTGCCCTGGGCCCTGCGGCCGTCCCCTCTGGCCTCCCTGGCATTCACAGAGCCCGGCCCAGCTGTCGCTTGTCCCCTCGGGGAGCTATTTTCTTCTCTTCCCCGGCTTCCCTCTCCCCAGATGCTCCTGGACGCGGGATGCAGTCGCCCCCCCGCGAGAGGACTCTGTGGATCCTCCGGCCTCGCTGCCCACCGCTGCCTCCTTGTCTCCGCCGCCAACACAAAAGCCCTGACCCAAGCGGCCAAGCAGAGACGGCACAGTGAAGCCCACGCCCGCTGCCCTCCCCGTAATGCGAACTCCTGAGGGATATCTCCCTGCGGGGCTGCGCTCCTAAATCCTAGACTCTCTTAATCTTTGCAGCTTCTGGTAGGAGAAAGAGGAGTTTGTCACCTAAGTTGCCCCTCGCACCTTTGTGTGACCTGACTCGGGCACCGGGACAACATTACGCCAGTTTCTGCACCCCAAGAGGAGATCTCTGAGCGAGGGGGCCGGGAAGAGTCTCAGGATCACCCCCTTCCCTACATCCCATGCACAGCCTTCTCCCCTTCGTCTCTGAAACTGTGTTTGACACAGCAGCTGAAACACAATTAATTGTAACTGATTAACATGGATCAGTTTCGCCTCCAAAGCACTTTAAGTCAATTCAGCAGCCATAATAATAATTAATTCATTAATAAGTACTATTGGTGCTTCGTCACTAACGCCAAGAAAAGTTTCCCTGAGAAGTACAGGTGGCAGGGAGTGTTAAAATGAAAACATTTGCATGCAACTTTTTAACCAGAAGGGAAAGCACTTTGGTTATATTTGGAGACATGTGTCTCACACATTCCACCCCCCCCCCCCCCCCCCCCTTTTTTTTTTGTAAACTATGTAAGAATAAACATTACAGCTCTGGGCTTTTAATTTCTCCAGATGGAATCATAAAGTACCTAGTAGATTTTTTTATATATATATACTATACAATTGAGGATACATGCCTGCTTTTCCCGATGAGGACGAAGAAGCAACTTAATTTGAAGGCATAACTACTGAACCACATTTTGAATAACACACTCGAACAAGTTCACTTTAAAAGGCAGGAAACCACTAAGAGCAGAGCACTGAAAGTTGCTCCTTCCCATTTGAGCTGCAGTGGAAGCTCACAAGTCTGACCTTCACATACGCATTGTCGTTTCGCACACACGTACAGAAGTACACACGCGCGGAGGTGGCAGGGTGCCTAACTGTGGCGGGGGCTTTTCCAAGGCACTCGCACCCCCAGAAGGCTCCCCCCACTCTCTGCTGAAAAGACTGCCTGGGATCCCATCCCCGGCGCGACGGAGGAGTCCTCTGATCCGCAGGTGACGTGAGAGGTCTCCTCCTGCCCCCCCGGCTGAAGCAAGGGGTCTACTTACCCTCCCGGCGCTCCTCTCCGCTCCTCACACGCACACTTGCGCACCCAGCAAAGCGCTTTCGTGCAGGACAAAAAGACGGAGGAAGTCTGGAAACCTCACTGATCTTAGGGATCCAGGCATGCTGGCATGTTGAGGGGGGCAGGAGCCCCTAGGCTGGGTGGAAAATAGTAATAATAAAAGATTGTTTTGAATTGTTTTTTGAAATCCAAGGACAATAGGTTTTGTCTTTTTTTTTTTCTTTTTTTTTTGGGGGGGGGGCGGGAACTGGAGAGGGGGGAGTGATGTTGGTGATGGAAATTACTAAAATACCCTACTTATCTCCCTAAACAGGCTTAGTCTCCCTCTTCCGTCTCCTCAGCACCCCTCTCCGCCATCCCCCCCAAACTTACATGTGTTTAGAGCAATGCAAGGAGTTCCTTGACTGGAGCCCTGGCAGCGGGTGCGTTTAAAGTAGGGATGATTTATTCCTCCAGAGCTCGGGTCCCGCGTGTGAGTCTCCAGACCCGTGTCAGCTGGGCACTGCAGACAAACATCCTTAAATATGCATAAGGAACAGTTCGCTTTCTTAAAGGAGAACTTACCCCACCGGAAAGTTCACAGCCCGTTGTCAGGTGCGGGAGGAGGGTGCGGCGGTAGCCTCTGCGCCGGGACAGCCCTAACTCCTTAAGGTGATCGCCTACACGCTCAGTGGCAGGGCTGGGGACAACCAGCCGCTTTTCGGCTGGGGACCGGGCGGAGAAGCGTTGACTAGTCGGCCATGGACTTAGTGAGTTGAGGACCAGCAGTTTCATACACCGTCCTATCCCTCCTGTCCTCGGCCGGGGTGGGAGAGGGACAGAGCCACATACCTAGGGCAGCCTCGCTCCGGCGGACCCCCGTGGCAGCCACTGATCGGCTGCCCGAAAACTTGCGGGGTGCTACACCGAGGGGAAGCGCGGGACTCCTAACAAGAAAAAAAGTGTTGGGGGGAAAGAGTGGGACTGATCAAACACCCGGCCATCAGAACCCAAGCGGGCTGTGGACA